TTGTAAATGATTAACTTTCTCTTTTACAATATATAACTTTAAATTTAAAAATAACTTTTAACATAGAACACAAGCAGTAATCAGACATGCCTCAAAGATGTATGTGCAAGAATATATATTGGTTCATGATTTCAAGAGTGAAGTAAAAACATCTAGCAATGAAGGTGACTGACTTATTATACAGCCATCAAATACCATGTGCTTATTAAATTTTGTGTTACAAGATTTTTAATGACTTGGAGAAATGCTCACAAAATTTGAAATTTTCTTATAATGAAAGTATAGCTTCTACTGTGTAGAGAACACGTAGTTGTTTGTATATGGCCATGGGAAAAAGAAAAATCTAGGTGAAAACTCAAAACTATTTTTGTAGTTACATCTTTAAAACTGTGATCATTGGAGACTTGGGTTATTCTCTTCATTTAACTACTGTTGAATGCCCATGTCTTTTTCTTCATCTAATTAGATGAGTGTTAGGTAGACCTGAAATGATATAGAAGAGAAAGGGTCAAAAGTAAGTATGATGACTATGATGGCCAGTATTAATTGTCATCTTGACAAAATCTAGAAGCACCTGAGAGATGACCTTTGGACATGCCTGTGCAGGATTTTCTTGATTACATTAATTGAGGTGGGAAGAACCACCCCCTGGTATGACACTATTCCCTGCTGAGATCCTGAACTACATGGATGGAGCTGGAGAGCTGAGGAGCAGCATGGATTCATTTGTTTTCTGGTTCCTGGTTATGGATGCAGTATGACCAGCCGCTTCAAGCTCCTCCTGCCTTGACTTCCCCATCATGATCAACCATATCCTCTAATCGTCAGCCAGGATAAACCCTTTCTCCCTTAAATTGCTTCTGTCCAAGTATTTTATCACAGCCATAGGAAACAAAACTAAGAAAATGAGTCTTCTAAGAGCTTTAGCGTATCAGCTTCCATCTCTCACAGTGCATTATCTTACTGTCCACCTGCAGTCTTTCTTTGTGGACCACAACAGTCGAGCCACCACTTTCATTGATCCCCGAATCCCTCTTCAGAATGGCCGCCTTCCCAGTCATCTGACCCATCGACAGCACCTCCAGAGGCTCCGGAGTTACAGTGCTGGAGAGGTATGTTCCCTATGCCCTGAATCATTGTTCCCAAGTCTTTGCTCTTCTCTAGGGCCAGAAAAAAAAATTTAATTTCTTAGTTTTCATGATCTAGGGTTGTCTGTCCCGTGAGAGATGAAGGCATATGCATATTTTTTCAATGGAAAAATGAGTGATCATTGTGGGGCACCTATGTAGTTACCTAGATATGTCTCAGACTGCCCCTTCTGTTTCTTCCTTTGTCCAAATCACCATTAACTTATGTCAAGATATATATATAGAGATAGATAGATAGATAGATAGATAGATAGATAGATAGATAGATAGATAGATAGGTAATCAAAAGAATCTTATTGCAACCAGTTACCTGAAAATGCTACTAAAAGGGCAAAATTCTGATATGCAGTATATGACTGACTTAGAATTTTACCTTTCCATAATACCCTGGAGAGAACTTCAATACAATCATGAACTAAGAATTGAGAGGGCAAAGAAAAGGAAAAAAGCAAGAGGGAACCAGGCCCTAAGATTAGTACTCTGCCCCATCCTATAGCCTCTTCCCTGGCTATATCTTCTTTTACCACTTATGATTACTTCCTGCTGAACAATGAAAGGCTGCTGCTTTTTTGAAGGACCGTACTCATTACCTTTCTAAACTAGACCCTGTATCCCATACTGGCTCCTTTCTCCTTTTCTCAAGCCAAGAATCAAAGCATTGCTCTTTTCTACTTCCAATCCATTCTGAACAGTGTTATAGGAAATCCTCCTTTCGTTCCTGACTGACAGTTGTAAGGATCTGAGACCTCTTTTCATAGAAACACCGGAATCTGAGAAGATGTGGCCCTGAGATCCATTTCCTGTGGAAACTTAGGGAAGTGAATTACAGTGAGGTAAACCATGAGAACAGCTCCACAAGAAGGATCTCTCTACCTGTCTATTCTACAGAACTTCACTCCGGGTAGACCTTCCATAGGCATCTAATGAGAAACTGGAGAGATAGCAGCCCACCTAACAGCTACCCCTCCAGAATGTTGATTTAGAAGAACAGCCATTGGCTGCTTTCTTGGGAAAAGGGTGTCAAGGGCTCTGAGAGATACAATTGTTTCCTCCCTAGGGAACTCATGGCTTAATGCCAGTGTGACAAAATGAACTTGTCTTTTGTGAAACTTCTTGGATGTTGCAGTTTTAGGAAACTGCTGAAGGCATGTTACATCTTTCTTTCTTCCTACACATAAAATGAGTGTGTAGTTACATGAAGAAGAGTGTTATATATCTTCAAACTTTATGCAGATATCAAGACCATTAAGATTCAGACATATTCTCAGACTACAGAAAACAATATCCCAGCTTCCTAACTCACTGTGTACAGCATCCCTCCCTAGTGGCACTTTAACAACACTTCAAAGGGTAAAGTTTGTATTGCCTTGAGATTCTAGAGGATAAATTCAAAGTTCTGTATCAACTTGAACTATTCCATTTTAGTTTCTTAAAATACCCAATGTTTTTAATATATTGAGGCCAGGTCTGTATTAATATAGAATAACTGAATGTAGTAAGAAAACTGGGTCCTACAGACAAATTTACTAAAGATATAGATCTCTCACAATTGCAAGTAATTATCTGAAAATGTAAATATTAAAAATGTTTGCAGGCCAATAAGATGGATTTATCAAGAGATGAAGCACTTGGCCTCAGGTCTGATAACTGAGTTTGATCCCACAAAGTGGTAAGAGAGAACTGACTCAGGAGAATTGTCCTCTGATTGCCATATGTGTGTTGTGGCATGTGCCTATGTACACACACATGCACCTACACACACACACACACACACACACACACACACACACACACACACACACA